GGAATGGCTATTTCTAAAAGAAAAATAAAACAGTACTTGATTTCGAAAGCAAGTAAAAAAGAAATCAATGTCATATAAGTGAAATGAAAATCTCTAATCATTTTTTTTCAAAGTTTTTCAAAGATCTTTCAATTGCAAAAAAAAAAAAAACATATTAAATGGAGTTTTAAGAAAGATAGTAGAATGAGGAATATTTAAATACCAAATAAAGTTGAACAATTTTACAGATTTTTACATATTTGAATTTTAACTTTGTGTATAAGATACAATAAAAATAAGTCAGTAACTAGATACAAATAAATTCATCTAAATTTCTTCATAAAAAGGACACTCCATCATACAAAATCAGGATCTTGCTGAAAAAACCTAAATATCATTAAACTTTCTTTCAATAATACAATTGAAATTTTCTGCTTTGCAGGCATTCCTTCACCATGTCGAGATCCTAGTATGAAAGGTAATGATTTTGTGTTGATTGACTTTGCCAGACAATGTTTCGCAGAATTCATCGGAATTACAACAGATGTACCAACATTATGCCGGTATGTATTCACAACGTATCTTGATATGACAAAATGAACAAAACAAGTTTCATTGTCTTACTTTATTATTTATTTGAAGTTGTTCCATCTAAGTATAAATGAAATATATTAAATGACAACACATTAGAAATTTAAATTTATTTCTGTAATAATTAAATTGTTTTTTCAATAGTATTTTTTTTTTTAATTTTATTTTCCGGCTTCTATTTATGTAAGAATTTATATATATATATATATATATATATATATATATATATATATATATATATATATATATATATATATATATATATATATATATAACATCCTTCTATAGGTTGAAAATGAAAAAAAAGTCGCATGATAATGAACATCGCTATCCAATATATCACCCTAGAAGAGACTATTATTACATGTGTATCAAATGAATGCTCGTTTATTTCTTTGAAATTTTAAATTAAAAAAAAATCTTCCATTCCAACCATTCCCCAAATTGAACTCAGCGCACACTGCGACGAGTATGTCAACGTTTAATCATTGACATTAGAATCTGCTATTTGCAATGTACTTTCACTTTCAAGTCTTATTATTTAGACAAAATAAACAGGGAGAACAACTTTCCAGAGGCTATCCAATTCCAACTTGCCCTTCATTGATAAGCATGTTTTGTTTTTCACGAAGAGCACGGAATTAATTATGTATATTTTATGAAAAATTATGCATTTTTAAAAAGAATTTTTCTCAATTACATGTAATATTATTCCAATTATTTTTTATCAAGTGATACTTTCTATCTGTTAATCAATGAAACATTTATAGAATGTAAAAGTTTTAACTTTATACCTCATATAGTTTTGGGGATATTGTAAAAATATTTTTTGGACATGTTGATCTTTGACAAAATCTTAATATTGAAAGTTATTACAAAAAAGTTGACATGAGAAATTATCAATTAAAAAGTGTTTAAAACACTATTCCTTCTATTTTAGACATATGCTTATTAATTCCGATTTTAAACATTAAAGGGTGCAGTTACTGGTCCAGAGAAAACTGTTCAGATACGGGAAGTTAGGACGAATTACATTCGTTTGTAAGGTGTTGGCATGTCTGTTTTATGCCAAAACTTTGGCCACAGATCTAGAACGTCCATGATGAAAAACACTAGTTTTGAAATATAACTTATTTATGTTCAAATTCTTAAACTTCGAAATGGTTGAAAAGGGTTTTCTTTTCATATCATTCTTAAAATTCTGTTAAGAAGTTGTTATCAGAGGGGTTTTTTCAGTTACGTCTTCCGGGGAAATTTCACTCTGGGGTTCTGGCGTTGCCTTTGAACTAGGTTTTGATGTAGACAAATGATATGGTGTTGTGCTTGATGATGTTGTACTGAATGCTGTTTCAGAAGATGTTGGATCAAATGATGTTGATTTTGAAGCAGATGATGCTGGAGTAGATGTTGTTGAGCAAGATCCAGTATTAGATAATGTTGGGGTGGATGGTAATGGAATGATGGAATGGATGGTGGATTGTGGTTGACCTGATAATGTTGGGCAGGATTTAGTTCTTAATACTGTTGGAGTGGTTGTAACTGGAATGGATTGTGGTTTAAATGATAATATTGGGCAGGATGCAGAATTATATGTTCTTGGAGTGGGGGTTGGTGGATTGGATAATGGTTGATCTGATGCTTTTGATGCATTTTTAACATTTACAAACTCGTCATATGCAATTTCAATATCTTTTTTGTCACATTCTGATAGAATTTCTTTGTCATTTGTTTTTACAAACAAGGAGATAGCAAATGGGCTTATCAAAAATAGGACTAGCTCAAGCATTTCTTTAAAATTACGGGCAGTTTTAGAGGCTCCACTATAATAAAAAATCATGATCATAACTACAAGAATTCCTACAACAATAAAGCTTTTCATGATAAAAAAATATTTTTTTCTCTTCGCAAATAAAAGATTTTTCGTCACCTCATTATAAAGTTCTTCTTTAATAGTGGTTATCGGTATATCGGCGTCAAAAGTTTTTGGTTCCATTTTTGTTTTCGTGGAGGTTTTGCTTTTTGATGCGCTTTCTAGTTTTTTAGATTCTAGATTAGATTTTGTCGTGGTACTTTCTACTCTTTCAGCACATATCTGACACACTTCAGTGGTCTGTGTACCAGCGTGATGCTTTTCCTTTTTTCTTATATATTTAAATAAATATTTAAGTATTTCAGATTTCATGTTGATAATTTCAACAAGGTATCTGACAAAGTAAACGATTGCCATAACAGTAATTAATGTATATCTGAAAAGGTGAATTCTGATGGCCAAAGTAACAAAAGCAAAATACATAACGAACCGCAGTATAAAAGTGAATGATGATAACAATGGGCGATAAAAAAAAATGTATGTCAAGAGGTATGAAAGAGGACAAAAAAATACACCTATTCCACGAGAAATACATGATAAGCATTTGTTTCTTAAACTCCAAAAAAAGGGTCGGAAACAATGTAAATGTAAATGGCACGTAAATGAAAAAAAGGGGAAAATGCTCAATAATATTTGCAAAGGAAAATCAACGATAAACCAAACTGAGTGTTTAACACAGCAGCGCCGACTACACTTTTCATTGCATGATTTTTTAACATTACTTTGAAGAATATTTGCTCGAGATATGAATCGATTATTCATTCCTGTGAAATTTCTATCAGATTCGTCAAATTCTGAGAAACATCGCTTTGTGCAGGAAAATAAATGGATGTTATCTTTTATATAATGTTTGTAACACCATTCAACAAAAGATATATAAAAACCAGGAACAAATATGGCATACAACAAGTCAAAAATCAAAGCAGTTGATTTGTCTTTCAAACAGTTGAAAAAGGGCTCATTAGTACGAATTGCATTCCAATTTTTATCGTAATTTGAATCATACATACGATAACGTACAATTACTCGATAGATACCAGAAGGAAAGATAATAAAAAACCATATAAGAGCAATTAATCTGCGCGGAGGTGTACATTTGCAGAATTTCAACCATACCATGCTTGTGTAGGAACAAATTATGTCCGCATATATAACGCGACCTAAACAAGTAATATTTGTACAACATTTACCATAGAATAATTTTAAGAGTATTCTTTTAATTCCACATGGTCTATCATGTTCTTGATAATCCGTTTCTTCCGTGAAATCATATTTCTTGTCCCTACTATAACGTGATATCGGTACAAGCTTATTTCCAATTCTTTTATACTTTACATCTATGGCGGAAAATATCCAAACAAACTGAAATGAAAGAATGTAACAAAAGATAGCTATTACTTCTGGTAGAGTTTTCTTTAAAGTTTTTCTTTCATTTGGCCAAGCAGAACACTCCAGATCATATCCAATCCAAACTGTCGTCAGGTAGTAGATAAATTCCCGAAAACCATTTATTACATAACGTCTATTGCATAACAGATAACTTGTACTGTTAGCCAGAATTTCATTCCATAGTAGGCGTTCAATGGATTTTATCAATTCTTCTTGATCCGGATTTATCTGACAGGAAGTGATGTTTTTCCTTAATTTTATGTGGTCTTTTATTATTTCATCGTCAACCCAAAAGAGATTTAATGTGATAAGATCGAAATCAATAGGCAATTCTTCCAGGAATTTTTCTGATATATCCACAATTTGCCAACTGGTAAGATCATCAATATAAAAGGGCTTCGTTTGTTGTAATTCTTCGTTATTTTCAACATCAAGAGTTAAATATATGATGTAAACAGACTGAATCTTTGCTTTGGCAACTTTTTTGCTTAAAGACTTTTTTTCATCTTCATTGAAATAAAACGAGCAGAAAGGTAAGGCTTCATTGACATTTGAGATTGAATCTTTGAAGGATGGATTGTTGTGCATAGTTCTGCTGTTTGACTGATCGAATCTGAAATTAATGTCTCTGGTTTGCCTTATCTTGTATGCATCTGTTATGTTAAGATCAATCATTTCATCAAAAATTTTCAATCCTCTTTCTTTCAGTTTAGCGTGACTAAAATTTTGGTTGACATTTGACTGTCTTCTCTCCTTCACAGAAAGATCTAATGTATTGTACATGTATATAGCAAACAAAATTGATGTCTGAAGAATCACTAATACGACGAATAAATTTGCTTTTCTTTTTAAAAATGCCATGTTCATCTGAAATAGAAAAAGATGTTTGTAAAATGTAATGAAAACAAGGGTATCACAAAGCAAAGTACCCCTTCGCAAAGAGCATAATTATCTATAAATCAAGCCAACATTCAATATTCATCCCGATCCGAATACGGCACTTCTGTTCGTACAAGAACAATTGGTACAAAAACACAGACAAACGCATTTCAACTATCTTTCCAACCCTTTTGTGAGTGGATGAAAAGAATTGCACGAGGGATTCGATGCTCATTTGAGTTATGTTGGCCCTGATATCGAGATCTCTCAGCATTTCTTAAGAGAAAGATTTCCCTTCTTAAATACCATGAACAATTCTAACCTCTTATTGAGTACCACAGCAACCTCGCGTAATACCCAGTCCTGTCAGTGAATCAACCTTTTAATGCAAATATATACCATGGTGTTTAAAGGAAGATTTTTAAAGTTTGTTTGAATATTTATTTGGTCATCCTCAACCTAGAAACCAACCTATATGCTAAAATCCCACCTCTGATGTTTCGGAGGTCCGTGTTTGCTCTGCTCTTATTTTGTATAACACGGCGGGTGTGACCGGTCGGCAGGGGATGCTCAGTCCTCCATGGCACCTGATCCCACCTCTGATGTTTCGGAGGTCCGTGTTTGCTCTGCTCTTATTTTGTATATTTGTTTAATGGACTTTGAGATTGAATACTGTTCGTTATTTCCATATCCTTCATCTACACAACTTTGGAATGTTACAGTTTAGGCTTGTTCTGCTACTATTGAGAAAACATCGTTTGTTACCGGTTTTGAATATTAAAATGAGCCTCTCTGTCCCTAATTGAATGATGCCATGATTTTAAAATATATGAATAAATATTCTATTTAAATGCATGTACATTTATATGTGTAATTGCTTCACTGCTGAGTATTTTTTAAAGAAAGTTAAGCTAAAAATATTCCTTCGTAAAAATGATATGGATCGGACACATTTCAATAGATAGAAAGACAGCTAGACAGACGCACATACGGTCAAGGAAATTCCTATATCCCCCATCATGCATTTTGTTTGGATATTAATAGAATCATTCATAACTACGAGTGTGAGATAGTGAAATTCCACCGAGAGGACAAGATTCACAGTCTAGGACGAGGCTTTGCCGAGTCCTAGACCGTGAATCTTGACCCTAGATGGAAATTCACTGTTCCCACACAAATATGTAACGAATGTTTATTTTTCTCGCATTATTTACTGGGGGTATCCAAAATAACGGCCTGTCAATGATGTTGCCATGATGGGGCTAAAAAACTTTTTTAAATTTTCCATCTAAATAAAAGTCTAAATACACCATCGGAGAGAGCGTACCTGAAAATGGTTTTTACGTAGTGTAAACTGATAAAGAAAAATTCAATCCTTATAAATAATCAAAATTATTTGATGAATATCAAATAGTACAAATTAATTTAGGTTTGCTTAGGTGCTATTACGAAATATGTTTGGTACAAGTTAACCACCATGCATTTCGGTCTCAACATGGAACGAGCTATCCATCCCTTGTTAACCGGAACTTTCTAGAATCTTCTGGAACATTCAAGCATAGTGGCTAGATCAATACAGACGGAAAGAAAATCATGTCCCCAGTAAGAGATAAAAGAACTGTTGCTAATAAACGGCGCAGAGATGATATCGGGTCAGCGGCCAGAGGTAGAGGCAGGAAGAAACGTCCCCACCCGGCGGTGCAAACACAGCGTCCATCGGAGGACCCTCTCCCTCTCCCACCTCCTGCAGAGCCGACCCTGTCGGGCCATGAGACGCATACAAATACTGGTACCGGACAAGAATTAGAGTTACCCAGTGAGTCTCAGGTCACATTACAAGATAATGTCCAACATGTGCAAAATAACCCAATATGTCAGCTAAGTTTTGTTGATACTTTAGGAGCCCATATTCCTAATAAACTAAGAAATAAGATTTGGGAAGGTCAGTTTATCGATTTGTCATTGCTCCTAAAATCAGCTGCAGAATTAGAGTATTTTGATTCTCAGGGCAACCTGCTGATTAGGAATGGCACCTAAAATGTTGCTATCCCAAAGAAAAACACTTTCTTACCTATAGAGAAATGGACCTCAGCATTTTTTATTTTTACTAGCATTATGTTAAAAAAGTTTAGTTCTAAAGCACAAGAATTGTTAAAATATATCAGAGACATTCGGCTGGCAGCAAGTACGTCCAGTACTTGGTACAAGTATGATGAGCAGTTTCGTATACGCAAAGCCCTTTCACCTAATACTCCATGGAGGAAAGTTAATTCTGAATACTGGCTTATGTATGTATCAGCTGGAAATACACACACAAGTTAAAGTCAGCAAGTTACTCAAATAAAGTACCATTAGGCAAACAAACTGGGGGGTTGTTGTTTTGTTTACAATGCTGGTAAACCATGTCCTTTTTCCCCAGATGCAGGTATAACCACATGTGTAGCCAGTGCGGAGGAAAACACCCTCAAGTTAAATGCTCAAAACAATCGCTCAGTTTACTCACTAGGGCAGACACCTGTAAAAACTAGCTCATTGGCAAAACATTTGGAAGGCTATAAACATGCCAAATTTTTACTTCAGGGTTTTTTCTTTTGGTTTTAGGCTACACTATCAGGGCCAACGATGGCAGAGAATGCAGAAATCTCAGTAGTTTATACGAAAATTTGTCAGTAGCTGAAAATAAAATCAGAAAAGAGGTAGCGCTACAACGAGTAGCAGGGCCATTTCAAAACCCTCCTTTTGTATTTTTACAAGTTTCCCCTTTAGGTTTAGTCCCCAAGAAGGACGGTGATATGCGTTTAATTCATCACCTCTCATATCCTGAAGGAAGTTCTATCAATGATTTTAATGACCCTATGGCCTGCTCGGTTAACTATTCAAGCATTGATGAGGCAGCAGATATTAAAGCTTCTTTGGGAACTGACACATTATTGGCTAAATCTGACATAAAATCCGCTTTCCTTCTTATCCACATATCACCAGCTGATTTTGACCTCTTGGGGTTTAAATTTCAAGGTTAAATTTTATTTCTTTCCCTATGTGCAAACAGTTATAAACACATGGACGGTTAGAGCATAAACATTTACATTCATCGCTTAATAATTTACTTATTATGTTAAATATAGAACATTATTATAATTTTGTGGGGGACATTGTTAATGTCTGTGGCGGGACGGGGAGTGCGTTGCGGTAGCTGATCACTAATTCTGCTCGAAAACCTGTTGTTTCCTCCCACCTGCTAATAAAGCAGGGGGCATATGTTATGTTTACTATCAATTTGGTTAAAAAAGTTAGTAACAAAAGGCAGTACTTAAAGGTTAATTGTAATAGAGAGGCTCACAGCTAGTCCATTGCTAGTGCCTCATCCACCTCCCTACCTAGGGAGGGGATGCTACAGGCTGGGGCATGTTCTTTGGGGAGCAACCGTAGGTCAGTCTACTGGGTCCTCCCTTTCATGCATCATACCAGGTAGCTCTCAGGAGACGGGCGAGAAGGGCAGGCATCACTACCCTCCTCAGAACGCGGTGACTCGTTCAGGCTCTGAGCACTTATGTTCACATAGGGCTCCCGGTGGGTCCCCTACATTGGGTAGTTAAATTGGAACACTGGCCGCCTCCCCAGTTTCCCACAAAATTTTTGTATCCCACCTTTTCCACTATATTTTGATTTATTGTCTGTTTTCCTTGTCTGCATATTAAAAGTTATAAATATGCATTTTTTCTTATGTTGTGAATTCTGCCAACAGGCAGCTCCAGGGAGTCATAGTGTATTATCTCAATTGATGCAGCTTTGTATTTTACAGTAATTCTTTGGTGGTTTAAAGACAGTAACTATCTGAGTAATGTATATTTTGAAAAGATTGAACAGTTAATGTATCAATTATGGTGTAGTACAAGATAATGGTAAATCCAAGCACAGGGAATAAAACAAGTTTCAATCATGGTCAAGGCTTCATATCTTAGCACATAGTAGTCTGCTAGTAAGGTCAATTTAAAACAGTAGCCAAGTCTATAATTAATTAGATAGATAAAAACTGGGAATAAAAAAACTTATCTATCCGAAAGTGTAAAATAAATATCATTCCGCGATCTAAAAATTGCCATTTAAAAATTGAAAATACGACAATATTACTAATGAAAATAGGTTTATATTAATAAGTTAAACATGTTAAATGACAACACTTTATGTATGTGTAATATTGTTTTACATTGTTACAATTTCTTTATATAAAGACGTTATGTTCACGTTATCGTTCGTGATGTAGTAATACAAAGTGAAAGACAGAAAAAAATTCACACTGCTGTCTCACACCGGACAAGTCAATCTTACACTGGTGATTATGCGAGAAATACATTTCTACCACAAAGAAATCACTACTGTACTAAAATAAAAAAAAAAACTGTTCAACGCCTTATCGGCTACTCGATCGGTTATTATCGGACACTCGGTGCAAAAAAAGCAATGTTTAGAAAATGTAGGTAATGTTAAATTTTATATTTCAACATTAAATTTCTAATTCAACAAACAAAGTTGGTGATCTATGACAGATAATTGATTACACTTTCAGCAGCAAAAAGCACAAACCAAATCAGTCTCTTCCAGAATATCTACAGCTCTTTTAAATGATATTTTACAAAAAATTCGGAATATGACTTCACATTTTAACTTTTGTAGAATTCCAAATTTTTTACACTGACAAACTGGTCTATTAATTCTATGGGCAATCATATACCTTTAGATCAACAAAATGATATAAAACTCAAGATTAAGGTTTAGTTAACAGTCATTTAAATTTCGTGTTATTTGAAAACATGTTATCGTTAAGATGGTGGATGTTGCCGGATACTTTGGTTTTAGACGGGTGTGTGTTATCGGAAATTCAGGTTAAAAAGATTTCTTTAATT